CAGAATTATGTATCAAACAAAAGAAATTTCATCAAAATTGGATGAAAACTGGAAATGCATAAACAACATCCGATCACACGCGCACACATACATATACACACACTTTTTTGAAATTATAGTTATCGACAATATATATATATATATATATATATATATATATATATATATATATATATATATATATATTAGACATCTACCGACGAATCTAAAGAACTGTATTTAAGTGCAAAGAAGAGGCACCTGTAGAAATAACAGATTAAATTTCATAGTATCTCATAGAGACAAGAGATCGTATTAATAAATAGCCGACCTCTAATAAATAACCAGCATAAATATTTCTTTATATCACCTATATTCATAAAATATTCTTAAAGAATACAAAATCTATCCATTTGTAGATAATGTGACCTAATATTGTCCATTACGTTTCTAATATTCGTTATTTTATACAAAACGTTTAATGAATTTTCTAGGACAGGAAAACACGTAACACACAGACACCATGAAAAGGACGAATATTTTCTATGAAAATTTCTCGGACATTCAGGCCGGTAAATGTTATTTAATACTATTTATTATAAACAGAGCATTTACTTAAATACTTGTATCTATAAAAAAGAACGTTAAACATAAAAATGTCTTTAATAAAATATATATATATATATATATATGTGTGTGTGTGTGTGTGTAATTTTTATATATATTATTTATATATTATATATGCGGGGTACTTATTGGAAAGCGCTCAATATCAGTGATAGAGCTAACATACTTAGTTGCGTTGATGTGAGTTTGTGACCCTACGTTTCACGCCCTTTGAGATCGTCAGACAAATTGATTAATTTTGAAATTTTGGATATGTGCACAAATCGGTGTCTCACGCCTTCTGCAATTTTCAGGTGCGATTTTCTTTTTAGGTTAACAACGGTTATTAATATTTCTGGTTATCACGTGATATTTTAATTGTTAGGGTAGACTATTATTGTTGTTAATTATTCAAATATATCTAAGGTTGTATAAATAGATACATCAACGAACAATCGAACCATCATCCTAGAATAGTAAATGATTTATATAAATCAGTCCAATTAAAGCTGTTCGCCAACGCTAACAATAAGGATATTTTTAACAAACAAAGGCAAATATGTAGAAGCACTAGAACATAGTAACCATAAAATTAACGTCGAATTCTTAGCCAACAAGGACACCAACAACCAAAATGTTGTAAACGCAATATTATATGATTTAACTCGTTCTTCAACAAAAACACCAAACTAATATCGGCTTTTTTTAAAACTTAATCCATAAGCACTTCAGTTATTCCTCAACACTAAATAAGATTTTCAACAAAAACAACATCAATGCTAGCTACAGCTGTGCTAAAAGCATCGACCAATATACATATATCACAGGACAACAGTTCCATTCTAAAGAAACACTTCAACAACCTTAAAACAACAACATCCCCACAACTAAGGATTGCAATCGGTAGTTTATAAATCTGAAATCAAATATGACTTGACGAGTTTTATGTGGGCTCTACGGAAAACCAATTGAAATAGCGCTTCTGCTAAATGAGATTTGGCAATATCAAATATAGTAACAGTACTGACCTCTCTAAATTTTTCTGGAAACTAAAAAGCGAGAATAAAATCTCAACTATCACCTGGGAATCAGTAACGAAAGCTAAACTCTTCGGTGGGAAAGGCGACTGATGCAACTTATGTCTTTCTGAAAAACTAATAATCCTTAAACTATGAACTATCCTAATCTCTTAGACAAAAGAAGGGATTTAATGGGCGCCTACGTATCTAGAACCAAATTTCTGTTCAAACATGTTGACCCAGCTTAATATAATCTATCCGGATCCAGGGACCACAAATACTTGTATTGTTATTATTTATTTTTATTAATATTTTGAGGATATCCTGACTACATTATTTTTTGCTATCTTTACTATACAACTATTGTTTTTATTAGACAGTAATGCATTTGACATTTATGCTAATAAATTATTTTCATTATGCTATTATTACCATTTTTACTTTATAAACATTATTATTGTCTTTATCTTACATTTATTTTTAGTCTTTTTTATTATTATCATTATGTTTATTTATTTACTTATTTATTATTTTATTTATTATTTATTTATTTGTTCTTATTTTTTACATATTTATATGTTTTTATTTTATTTTATTTTTTATCTTGTTTTATTTTATTTTTCATTGATATGTATTATTTTTTTTTTTATTATTTTTACTTTATCACTGCATATTTTATTATTATGAATATCACTACTTTTATTAAGTTTAATAGTACTAACATTACTATTAATTTCTCTATTAATTTTCATGCAGAAAATAGAATTAACCCCTTGATTTCCAAACGTTTTTTCCTTTTAATTACAACAGTGTCTGTTTTTAAATTAGAAATTATAATTCTTATTTCCAAACTTATTTTCAATCTTAAATGTTAAGCTAGACTTAAATTCAAATCCAGAATTAAAGAACAATTGATTTGAATAATTAACAACAATAATAATTCACATTAACAATAAAATATCTCGCGATAACCAGAAATATTAAATAACCATAGTTAAAATTCGCACCTGACGATTGCAAAAAGCATGAAACTCCGAGTTGTGAAATCAATGTAGTGTATTATGTATATTTTTAATATATTAAATAGCACTGATTTTTCTTATGTCTAGAGTATATATATATATATATATATATATATATATATATTTATATATATATATATATATATATATATATATGTGTGTGTGTATAAGTGTGTGTGTGTGTGTGTGTGTGTGTATGTATATATATATATATATATATATATATATAAAAAATATATAGTCTTAAGGTGTGCTATATTTATGGAATAAAATTCTCAATATCAGAGATAGAGCTGTGTAAATATAAAAAGTGAACATAGAGGCGACAGTCTGTTTCATGCTATATGGCCTGACGATTGCATATAGCATGAAACAGACTGTCGCCTAAAGATTGATTTCTATGTTCATTTATTATATATTATATATATATATATATTTGTTACGAGGATGCATTTCTATAATAAGGGATTCCTTTGAGTTCTACTTGTTATCACAAAAAAGTTTTCATTCATGAAGTAGTTGTAAAATAGAGAAATTAGAAATAGAATGTTTGGAAGATTCTAGATCATTCTAGTATATTCGAGAAAAGTCTAGATGATTCGAGAAACATCTAGAAATATGCAAATTAGGTGTTAGCCCCTATAAAAATGGGATTTTGGAAAAGGGGTTGTCAGTTGATGAAAAGTTTATTCCTTTTATTTCTGCTGTTATCAACTCCGGCTTTTGATTCAAGGACTATTATATCCAGCCGAAAGAATCTCTATAAAAAGTTGCGGACCAACCAAAACCCAAAAGAGAATTTCATGGAACAAATTTGGTAAATAGAATTTTGACTAATTTTCATTGACAAAACTAAAAATTAATATTTATTTACACACCTTTGTGGATTTCCAAATATAGCACTTAGATTACTTCACTAGCCCTAAAGTGATAAAGATATTTGATTCCCTTTCCTTCTTCCTCGTAACACTTTTGTCAGTAACTCTTTGTTTTTTTGTCTGTTTTGTAGGCCACAATTGTTTATCCTGTATATATTTTATGTTGTGTTTTAGTAAATTAAATATTTGTTTGTGATTTAGCTCTGTGTTCTGGTAAATCATTTTTTTTTCTTTGTTACAATTATCAACACGTAAAAAATATATATATATATATATATATATATATATATATATATATATATATATATATATATATACAATTGGGTGTGTGTTAATTTGTATATTACAGATTTTTAAAAAATACAAAATTGTTTCTGCCTTTATTTCTTACTTGTTTACTATATTATTACTTATTATTTGTTTGGTAGAACGTATTGATCTCGGCCGCTTGCTAATTATTTTAATATTTCAGAAAAAATGTCATAGAAATTAAAACCCACTAAAAATAACGTGTATATATATATATATGTTTGTTTATTTCTCATAGGTTTATCTACATGTTCGTGAATTGCACTAAAATTTTGATAAATTAACCTACGAAAGAGTGTGATGCCTGTGTGGCCAATGTAAGAATTTAACGTTATTTGTTGATTGTTAGTGGTGTAGATACAATCTCCCACTGGACTTAAGAATTCATAAAGAACATCATTTTTTATACAGTAGATCTTTCAGGTGAATTACTTATGAGGATTACAGTAGACGTTTTGTTTCATAGAGAATTAAGTAACATAAAACAAACACTTATTAACAATGGTTTCCCAAACAATGTTGTTGTTGAAGAATTATGATTAGTTTTAAAGAAATATAGAAAAATAATATAAGCAACCAAGTTTATATGAATAAAAATAAAGACTCCATTAAAATGTTTCATTGTAATCACAAGGTTATTAAAATTATACTTCACCGGTATATAAAAGTTTAGAATCTTAATAAATACGTTAGATTTATCATTTATAACAAAATCCTCAAACGTCTCAAGTCCTTACATGTAATTCGTCCCCTATAAAATCAGGTCCTTTGTTAAAATAACTTTTTTTTTTTTATTGTTATCGCTGTTTTAATCAATAATTATATTAGTCATGTTAATGAAAATATTTATTTAAATTATTTTGTTTCAGAGTCGGGCACGAAAATACAACCAGCAAATAGAGTTGTTGAGAGTTGAACGTTTCATAAAAAAGGTAATTGAACAACACTTTGCTGATGCTGATAGTTCTGACGCCCCTTCTGAGAGCCCCGATGAAGAAGTCCAGACAATCCCCCTTCGTAGGAGTGCCCGCAACAAACGACCACGTCCGCAATGCCACATGTGTGATCTTGAGACCAGGGGGGAGTGTGGACATGAAAATGAGACTAACCTCAGTTCTCGGCATAAGAGGGTTCGTTTGTGTCTGGCGTGTAGGGCAGTAATTGGTCCGAAGAAAGAAACACCACCATTACGGTGAGTCGGACTTATGGAAACGCGATCTCGTAGCCGCGAGGATTGACGAGAGGAGAACTTGGGCGTATGCAAATTGGTTGGTGTTCGCTGGGATAAATGTGACGGCGGGAGACCACTCGAGAGAGTTGTGTGTAGCGAACCACGAGGCGGTGTTGGAACATTTGAGTGCAAAGATCTGTGGAGTTTTTGTAGCTGGATTGTAGCTGTCGTGAAGCTGAGGAGTGTTTCCGGAAGTAGGCGGTGCCGGGCCAACCCGTTCCCTTCCTATTGTTTGGACCTAATTTTAATACACTAGCGACCACCGTGACCGAGCAGTAAAAGCAACCTGTCTAAACAGTTCTTTCCCAGGAGAAAGTGAAAGTAGGTTCCTCACTGATTGGTACATTTTCTTTAATAAAACCTATCGCTTTTTATCCTCTGAAATACAGGTATATACTAAAGTAGTGGTTATGAAATAGCATGGTGCGCCTGATAGATAGATCGAAAAGGGATAGCAGATGAGGTGGAATGATTGAAAGACAGTCTGTTATGGGATCTTACCCATAATAATAATAATGGATTATTCCATACTTAATAAATACCGCGCCTCAGGAGTAGGCAAGGAGGGAGTCGGTAGTTCAAGTCAGTCAGTAGTTCAAGACGAGTCAAGAGTCGAGTCAGAGGCAGTCCGAAACAAAGTCGCGTTCAGACAATTATTGCAAGACATCAGAATAGTGATACTGGTCAAGACTACATTGTTCTCTCTACTAAACCTGATTGTTCATACTGACACTTCTACTTCTCTGTATATATTCCTGTTTGTAATATATCTGTGTTATTCCATACCCGTATTCGAGTTCTTCTTTATTGGTTCTACCTTGGACTATCACCGTGGTACAAGGAATCGGACCATAACACAATCAAAGATTCAGAAAGTTTTTAAAAACTTATATGTCAAAAATGAATATGATTTCAAAATTTTAAATATTATGGATTATTTATAATTGCATGCATGAATCCCAGTATAAATACTTATAAATAATTATTAACCGATTTTATCATTGTGATATTTTTGCATTATATCAAGTATTAAGTATATAGTAACTAGTATCTGCAAATTGGAGGAAAAAGTTATCAATGATAATGTTCTGCTTTCGAACAGAGTGTTTTGGTTCCCTACACCGACGATGGCGTCCATCAAAGCAGCATTTCATATCTGCAAAAAGTAGAATAAAAATGGATTTGAAACAACGAAAATTAAAATAAATGCATTATATGATTAAATGTTTACATCACAATATTTATTAATAGGAATTAGATCGAAAATATTAAAACAATAAGAAAGCATTTAAAAAAAAATGAGAAGTAACAAAAACAATTGCATTAGCGGAATCCTTTAATATCGAAATATAAACTCAACGTTTTGTTTTCATTTATTATCATTCTCATTCATATATATATATATATATATATATATATATATATATATCAGACGGATAAATATAAATAAAAGTACGTCGTGAAAATGTCCCCATACTAATATACACATATATCCTTTGGCGTAAGAAAAACAGTACTCATTGCTAAATAACAAAGCTACTAAGTATATATTAATAAATATATATACTCCGACAGTTTTGTGCAAATTGGAGTTTCATATTTAATACAAACTCCAGGTACTGTCATGTAAATCGACAATATATATTCTATAAATAATTTCGTTTTTTAACATATATTACTATGTGAGAAAAAATTAAATTATTTTTATAAGCACCAACCAATATATATATATATATATATATATATATATATATATATATATATATATATATTTTTTTGTTTTCAAAACCATCTCTCGCTATTTCAATATGCATTCGGATTTCGATGTTCAGTTTTCTGTTGTTTGCTAAACACTTATAGTTAAATTTTTGTAGTTGCTTGATTTCAATACGTAGCTTACATCCTGTTTCCCATTTTGCTAACGACCTTATCATTATTTCTTTTTTGGTAACCTCACAATATATGACTGTAGTCATACTTCCACATCTACTACAAGTACAAGCAATTTTTACTACTTATTTTATTCCATTCAGAGATTGGTAGACGGTGCCGAAGCAAAATGTAATGATAAATTTTCTGAAATTGTAAGGATTAAGTGTAAAGCGAAAATCGTCTTAAAACTTTTATGAATATTAATGTCACTTACTTTCTGGACATTCTCTATCAAAGAGACAACCGGGAAAAGGATCGATGGGAAAAGGATAAAAAAAGGATCGACGGGAAAAGGATCGATAGGAAAAGAATCAATGAGAAAAGGATCGATGGGAAAAGGATCAATGGGAAAAGGATCGATGGGAAAAGGATCGATGGGAAAATGATCGATGGGAAAATGATCGATGGGAAAAGGATCGATGGGAAAAAGATCGATAGGAAAAGTATCTATGGGAAAAGAATCAATGGGAAAAGGATCGATGGGAAAAGAATCAATGGGAAAAGGATTGATGGGAAAAGGATCAATGGGAAATGGATCAATGGGAAAATGATCGATAGGAAAAGGACAGCGGTTGATACAATTTTCTTCGTCGTCACAAAATGGCATACATCACAGTTCCTCGTTTTCTTTCGTTATATTTCGGGGAAAATCTGGACAGATGCCTGGTTTTCCTGTAAAAGATGGATTTCAACGCGATCTTATTAAAAGAAAACAAAAACTTTTGTAAAATAACACCCTTTAACAAAAGTTTTAATTTTAATATTTTAGCACATAAAATAATAAAAAGAAAATCTAAAGTCACACTTTCTGTCAACAAGATGATTGAAGCACTTTAGATAATAATGGTAAAATAAGCCGTTTCCTTATAAGGAAAATTTTGACATTTATTCACTAATCAAAAAGTAATAGTTTCGGTTTAAATTTCTAAAAATTCATATTAAAACAATTTTTCAGAAAATACAGTCCACTAACTGCTATCTCTCTTTTCAGTATTGACTGGAGTTTCCTTGATAACATTTTGGTTGATGTACTGTGGAAGATGAACATTTTGATTATGTTATTATTTTTTGTTTGAGTTACATGTGCTATCCATTTTAATCATTTTTGTTGATAACATTCCCTAATTATGTCGCTTTTGTTATTTGGTACAGTTTGTTATTCTGTAGCGTCAATTCTCAAGGTTTAATGAAGCAGTGGTCTCGCTAAGATTTGCAGGATTCATTTATTCGAAGCCATTTTTAACCATTGATCTGAGAAAATAATTGTATACAATTTAGAGTTTTATGGCATGCACGGCGTCCATATTTATCTGACGACGATGCTTAAGAAAATGAGTTCATATGTTAATTTTCTAATATTGTAGCAATTCATGGTGTTTAGGTGGAACTAACTCTAGCACAGCCGATTTTACAATCACTTTCTATATCTCCTATAATAAATTTAAATTTTTATTATGAATTGAAGGTAATTGTCATCATTGCTTTCATTCCAATGCCATATCATCTTTTCTATTTTGGGAAGGTTGGTACACATCAGAAAAAATAACCTAAGAACTGAAGTCATTTTCTTAACTGGCCTTGTCGGAATGAAACTTGCATACGGATATCATTCATGGCACCAAACTCGTTCAGAAATATCTTGAGTCCTAATTCTTGGAATATTTGGTAGAATATGTTGATTTTCTGGTCAAGATCATATTTATTCCGATTACGAATATATATGTCGCTGGCATAACCCACACTCATCACCATTAAATTGGCCTCTGGAGGGAAAGCAAGAACGCTCTTTTCATTAGCAGATTCGTTTGCAGCTTAAATCGTCGGTGGCCATCTTTTTATATCTATGCTTGTATATATGCAGGGCATAGTCGATGAAATAAGTAAACAGACCGACACTCCCATTTCTTCCTTGTCATTCACCAGATGAGGTTTAAAATGTTTCCACATTGTTGTCTTTGCCAGCCATGTATGATATTATGGACCGATATATTTCCTGTCTTAGATCAAGGCATTCCGTCCATTCAGAGATTGGTAGACGGTTTCTAATGGATGAAAAGAGGATATCTCTATTGTTGCGGTCACATGCGACTTTGATGTCGACATAGTAGGTATACATTTTTCTACTGGAGAGATATTCAATCTAATGGACTTGTTTGATGACATATATGCCATCGTTACAATCTTTACCAGATAGAAAACAAAATTAGGTTGTGAGGAGTTGACTTTCATAAAAAAGATAAGAGTCTAGTTAATACAGTGTTCATTAGTACTTTCACTATATTTGATCTAATTGAAATTCCTGTGTATGTATGCGTGTCTTGAGGATTACGTTTTTGTTTCGAGAGTTCATTAATGCATAATAAACGCAAAACTATTGAGAGACATCTTGGATTCCAGATTCCTTAAAGAAATTGAGAAATGAATTAAATTCGGAAAGATGGTAAGCTATTTTCAAAATTTTAGCCTCAATGTGAAGTAATGCTTTATTTTTGTTTTTTGCTTAATATCTTTCTTCATATCCTCATCAGTATATAGTTATATTTCGAGACTTTGTAATGATTAGATGTCTATTGGTATATGTTATATTGCCGACGGTATCAATTGTGGTCAGGGTTGAAATGTGACTCACAGTATATTTTGAGACCAGGACATTTCTTCTGCGTCAGTTTCGATTGTATAATTTTATTGTGAATTTTCGCTTGTCTTCACATTTGAACAGATTTTGTGCTGTTTGACTACATTAATCTATTTTCAAATTTTCCAGAGATATTGCTTTCTCAAAGAATTAAATATTTAAAAAATTTCTTTGGCAATTGTTTAGTATTCTCCTTTGTTTTTATAATATTTTCTGCGAGCCGTACTATTTTACCATATATATATATATATATATATATATATATATATATATATATATATATATATATATATTGAACAATAAAAAAATTAAAAAATTAAAATCTTCAGACACACTGGGTTGTAGATTAATATTCTTTCGTTTTTTATTATTATTTCATTTAGATTCCTCGACTAGTTTCGGCCAAAAATGGCCATCATCAGGAGAAAAAAAATTCTTTCTTGCTGGTAGCAGTGAACTACAGAAATGAATGTCTTGATGGAGAAAATGAACTTTTTGTCTGTAGTTTTCATTTGTTTTTTTTTTTTTTTTTTCTTTTTAACATGAATTTTTAACATTTCTTGTGTTGGTCAAACAGTCTCTTTTAAGTTGTTATTTGAGATAAGAGCTGGATTGATCCATGCTGCTCTGAATTCCCTGGTCAGTTTGACAGTTTTATTGGTTCCTGGTGAGGGGATGTGTCTCTGTTATATGTTGTGTGTGTATATTACTGTGGGTGTTGGTTATCATTTGGTTCATTAGGGAGCGAGTGAGTATGATGTGTGTAAGTGTGTATATTCGTGTGGGTGTGTGCATATGTGTGAGGCCTCAACACCTCCGTAAGAATGTCTGTCTTGTGTGGGTGAGAAATGTGGGTAGGTTTTGATTTGTAGGGTTATATATTAATATTATCTATATTGTTAAATTTATGGTTTAGCCCGGCTGGATAGTGTGTTTTAAACGTTGTATCCACTTATTTTCATGGAACTCTAAAATCTTTCTAATGTTATCTGCTCTGAAAATTTCTATTCTCTCAATTATAGTGAATTTGGCACGGGTTTTGAAAACGTATTTTTCTAGGCGAAAATGTTGTTCTACAGGTAATAATTTTTCATGGGGAGTCAACTTAATTCGATTGCGATAATTATTAATTCTGTAGTGAAAGGGCCATTCAGATTTTCCTACATATTGTTTCTGGCATAGTGTGCATTCTAGGAAGTAAATTTTGTTATAGGCCCGTGTTGTGAATTGATGCTCCAGATTTTCAATGTATTTATTTAATTCTTCATTGTTGGAACATATCCTTCTGAGTCTAAGTGCTTGTGAATAGGGAGGGTTCTCTTTGAGATGTTTAGGATGGGAAGACTTAAAGTGTAAATAGTTGTGGGTGTCGGTGATTTTAGTTTGTAGTGTTGTTTGTAGTTTCCTGTTTTCATCTATGTAAATGCGGGTGTCTAAAAATGTTACCGATGTTGTGGATTTTTCATAATCAAACTTAATTGAGTCTTGCACTGTGTTTAGGGTCATGAGGAATTGGATACGTTTGTCGTCATTGCCCGTGTATACAAAGAATATATCATCGATATATCTTGTATAGAATACGCAGTCGCTACCGATGAGGGAATAGATATGGGACTCCTCAAATTTTCCCATGAATATTGTAGCACATGATGGAGCTGCAATGGTGCCCATGGCACAACCTCTTACTTGAAGGTAGTATGCTCCATTGAAGTTGAAAGTATCCAGTATAAGAATATGTTCCATGAGTTTCATGATAACTTCTGTAGTGGGTCTTGTTTTCTTCTTTTAGTAAGTGCTTCCTGAAGGTCGGTTAGCCCTTCGATGTGTTTAATGTTTGAATAGAGTGACCTTACGTCCATAGTCACTAGAATATAATTCTCTGGAATTGTTTGTATGTGATTAATTTTGTTTTGTAGATCTGTTGTGTCTCTGATGTAGATTTTTACTTCCTTAGCTAGGGGTTGTATGTAATTGGTCTACGTATTTGGAAATTTTGGTTGTGTGGCAGTTGAATGATGAAATGACCGGTCTTCCTGTCTTCCTCTTGTGCATTTAAGGAAGGGGATAGAAGCAAGCAGGTGTGATGTTTGTATGTGTAAGTATAATATATATATATATATATATATATATATATATATATATATATATATATATAGAACAGGTAATAAATCCGTTGGTATATAATCCAAGTGGATCCTAATAATATAAAATATTAAAACTGATTCACTAAATGAGCTCAATATATTTATTATAACAGAGCATATAAATTACACAACAGAGAAATCCAAAATTACCTCATGAGTATAATCTATTTCAACTAAAGCTGAATGCGTCAGCCTTATTCAACCCAGACGGAGGTAAAGTATATATATATATATATATATATATATATATATAATTGTTTATATTTTGCTATGAACAATAATGGTCTGGTGCAAAATGTAATGATAAATGGCGGTAAAACTGAAAACTTCTTAACTCATCAGTGATTAATGGAAAGTTGTGTGAATCAGATATTCTTGAAAAAGGAAATTATTGTATAAAATATGATCACCATGGGGCCACCAGGGCAAAATCCGTGATTCACTTTTTGAAACTGCAAAACAGAACAGAAAGAATGGCGTTTAAAGAACACGGACGGAAGAAGTTTCAAAAGATTTTCTTATCATGAGGCGAAATGAAAAAAGATAATACAAGTATTTATACAAAGCTGTGCGTTGTTATTCATTACCATAAGATTTTCAATATGCTTTTAAATGCAAACGGTTGACAGCATGCTGGACGTTCATTAGAGCATGAAAAAATTATCCATTATAGAATTTTTTTCTCTATGTTATAGCTTTGTATAAATAATTGTACTAATGAAGAACATATAGTTTTGTGCCTGGGAAATTAAAATAAAAGAAATTTAAACAGTTACAGCACATTTCTCTCGTCATTTAACATCAATAGACGGAAGGTTGTTCGTGAGT